ATAATGCTTATTTTTCAAACAATTGATTGCAATTCATGTAAAATCAGTGATGAAATGCTAAACAATTGTCATATCATCGGTTGGCCGCCATTAAGATTGACAACAGCTCCGGTGGTTTACACACTGCCGGTCAGTTCAGCGGTCATTGACTGGAAAGCCATGAAACCTATCACTAAAGGCCATTACTATTTATGTCCGTTTCCCGGCTGTGACCGTAAGCTAATTGGACTGAGAAAGCTCAGGAGGCATTATCATGGTCAATATTGTCTTGCATCTTAGACGATTACAAGAACTTATTATTTAGATATAGAGTGACCAAAACTCAAAACTATGAACATTTGGTTTTTTTATTGTAAAAAACATGCTAAAACTGACAGATTATACTTGTAATATTTGAAATGAATATAAAAATATTTACTTATTTTATTAAATAATATTTCTAATCGTATATTCAATAATTGATTTTATAATTAACGACACAATATTATGCAATATTTTTGTTTTATTTAGATATTCCTAATAAATCAATTAAGTTTATAAAATATTTTTAAATATTTAAATATATTTTTATTTTGAATGCAGTTTTGAAATGTAGTTTTAGTTTATTTTTAAAAATTTAAGACGATCATGATCAATCGATCTGTTGTAATCAACAGCAAAGAATTAGTTTATTCATAATAAAATTAGATTTAATTATACTTTTAATAATTAACAAATTGTTTTAACTAAATTACAATTTTTACAATAATTTTACAAATTTAATAATTAATAAATAATTTCTTAAAACGGCATAAATATAGAAACTAAAGCGAAGGGAATTCATTTGATATAAATTGAGACAATAAAAGCCGATATCGTGTTTAGTCAACCTCTCGATGAATACCAACAGTTTTAGTCGATCTCCGATTGAAATGCATTTCCGATTCAAATATTTATACAAAATGGGTAGTGATTTATGGGATACAGAACTGACACGACTTGACATATAATTCAGTGTAAAAACCACTGAAAATAAGACAACAAACAGGAATATTGTCCCAAAACGGGTCTGAAATGTGGTGTCTCTTGAAAATGTGAGGTAAAGTAATATCTCTATAGCAGGGGTTCCGAAATAATACACTGAAAACAATATATATTTGAACAAAATGTTATATTTGGTGACCATTTTGGCCACACTATAGTGTTTAGCTATAGTTTGAAATAGAGATCTATTGTTACCAAACTTAATGTAAATACGTATCCAACGATTGACTTCATTGAATAAAAAGTTGATGTATTTAGTAATTATAGACCATATGATTAGTGAAATACAAACCATACCATAGAACTGAACGGTCCATAAGAATACACATATCGACCAAAACACGACACCGAGTGCTGTGAACCCGGAGTTGGGGTCCATATAAGCCCTGATTGAAGCCCACAATAATAAGCCATTCGTGACAATCATTAGCGACCAAAATGTTTGATTCAAATAGTATTTCGTCAATACGTTTGTTGTGAACAATAGTCGCCGCAAATGTGTCTCATTTAATGGCAGTGAAAGTGATCTCGTTTTTAGATCGTTAAATAGGTTTATAGAATATATGATATGGTTATACTCGAGGTATTGAACAGTAATACCGATGTATAGTATGACAAACGCCGCGATAGACATCATTGCGGAGATTAATACCGGATTTCCTAACATATAGTTAGAATCGGACACAAAAGCCCTCATCTCTGGTGTGTTATCCATCGCTGAGACGGCATATCTCAGGCCCACCACTAATAACACGACTCTCGCTATTATTACCCAAATTTGTTTACTCTTATCATATACTCCGTTCACATAATCATCCCATGTTGAGGCATATATGAAATATCTGTTCACAAATGTTTCTAGTTTTTCAAAAAACAGCATTTCTCTGCTATTATTTTCAACAAATTTGTTATACATCTCAACTATTTTGTCGATTACAATCATTTTGATTAAGACTTATAAAAAACTAAGACAACACTTTTATAGTTTAAGCACAATTAATGTTATTGATTAATAATAAATGAGATTAGTTAAATAAATATGTTTAAATAGTCAATATTTATTTATAAGTATTGATAGTTTAATTTCATAATGTATTTTTCATAATTGACTTATTTCGTGACTAATGTCATATTATTATGTAAAGGATATTATGTAAAGTATATATGGATATTATACATGGATATTATGTAAAGTATATATTTAATAAAAATTGATTTTGCAATTAATGACAAAATATGAAATAATATTATATATTTATCTAGAATAAAGTTTTAATCATGATCTAATTTATTTAAAAACTAGTACAATAATAAATTTTATATACACCGCGTGATCTTTAACTTTGCTACGACTACTGCTTTGTAATGTGCATTTCACTGCAATACATTTTTTGGGGGAACAAACACATACATTCATATTTGTGTGCTCCCCAAAAAAATGTATTGCAGTGAAGCGCACTTTACAAAGCCGTAGTCGTAGCAACTTTTGTTAAAGATGAAGCGCTGTATATAAAACACGACACCGAGTGCTGTGAATCCGGAGTTGGGGTCCATTAAACTTAATTGCTAAACATTAGAAGTATATTACTAAATTTTATAATATTAATAACCAATTTATTAAACATTAAAATAACTAAAATGTTGTAATTTTAAAATGATTTTGCGACTAACGCTTCGCAACTCCCACTCGAAGCCTATCGGAGTGTAAAAACACTCGACCCGTAGTGAACACAACGGGCGCATCAGTGGTGGGCAACCCATAGAAACGGAACTGTCGGAGCAATTTGACCATGGCTAGTTTGATCTCAAGCAAACCAAAACGCATACCAATGCAATTTCGGGGTCCGGCGCCGAATGGCAGGTATGTATAGGGTTTGATGTGATGGCGATTTTGCGGCAAAAAGCGGTCGGGTTTGAAGGCCTCGGGATCGGGATAGTTGTCGGGCGAGTGATGTATGGCATACACCGGTATATCGATGTTCATTCCCTTTTTAATCATAAACACCGACCCGTCGGTCCCTTTGGTGAGCATCACGTCCTCCGCGGCCTCACGCTTAGGATTAACGCCCGGCGGGTATTTGCGAAGGGTTTCCGATATAACGGCGTCGAGAAGTGGGAGTCGGGAAACGGTCTCGTAGTCTATATCTCCCGTGTTTTCATTGAACGCCTCACTGGTCTCCGCCACCAACGCGTCCTGAATATCGGGATTGAGTGCCAATTCATACGTACAGAACGACAGAGTACTGGCCGTCGACTCAACGCCTCCGAAGAAAAACAGGACGGACTGAGCGATCACTTCCTCTTCGGTCAACTTCTTGGCTACGACTCCACTCAATGCCCGCTTCTCTGCCATCAGTTCGTCGACGTCTGCCGTCAAGTGATGTCCTATCATAGCATCGGTAGCCGCAGAGTCCGCACCCGTCGTGTTGTTGTCCTCTCTCTTCATATCTATAAAATACTGTAACAAATCGTGTGGTTTTTGGACCGCGTGTTTGCGCTCAGACACCAACCGCCCGGACAGGTGCATGAAAAACATCATATTTGATAAGCTGTTGGTCGCCAACCATTTAGTCAGAAAAGTCGGTAAAATGTTAGTCAATATATCGGCCGATAAATTGCTAAAATTTTTCAAAATCCAATTCGTTTTAGTAGTGAACGGATTGTTTGGATCGGTATAGGAGTCGGTGTGGGCGGAGAAGACACAACTGCCCATCACATCTATGGTATAGGCGGCCATCAATACCTTTAACTCCACTTCCGTCCGACCGGTGGACACGTCTCTGTCGAGTGCGGCCAAGAAGTGTCGGCAACACTCGTTGACCACTGGATACATGTCTTTGAGTTTGTGGGACGTGAATGTGGGACTGGCTATGGCTCGGATCCGTTTCCAGTGCTCATCTCTGGAGCTGAAGAGGTTTGTGTTCATCCCTTCGTCCACTCGAGTGACGCCTCTGTTATGGAATTTGTGAAAGTCTTTTACCAGAATCTGTTTGATGAGCGCCGGGTCCGCCACCGATAGCTCCGGTTTTCCACAATTATATTTGCTATAAGATTACGTGATATGTTTAACCATAATTCATTTATTAAAAATACAGAATTTTTTATTTGACTAAAATTTTCTTATTTCGAATGTTTATATATTTTTAGATATTGAAATATCCTAAAAATAACTTTTTAAAACTTGATGCATCCCCACAATTTAACCTAACCTACCTATAGCATCGCGCATGGTGCATTTTTATCTAATATATTTATTTTAACAACATGTTTATTTCAAATGCATTACCCATAGACTGGGCCGTAAGTGTTATACCACTCCAACTCAACCAATGGCTTAGGCCTTAGTATAAGACTTAAAGAATTGCCAAAATATGGCAGAGGTTTCGGACCCGAGATATGATTGTCGGACCAGTAATTCAATATACGATACCATTTGCTGTAATTAAATACATTAAGTTATTATTAAGCTACTTCAAAATTAAAAGACACTTTTATTATCTGAAAGTGGTTAGTGTTTAACCCTGTTAATTTTAAAATCAAATACAATACAGCTCTCTCTCTCTCTCTCTCTCTCTCTCTCTTATTTCTTGGTTGCTCTCAGTTTAATGTAGACTTAATTAATAGGAAATTATAAAATAATTTTAAATATTATAAGTAAATACATCAAAATATATTTTTATAAACATTAAATAAAATATTTTACTACTTATGAATGAAAATTTTAGTGTTAATAAAATACTTACTAATAATTGTACGTGATCAAAACGAGTGCAATAGAAGCTACTAAATGCCACAGGTATTGTATATTAAATACTGATACAAATAAGTATAACATTTGGATTAAAGGTTTCACTTAATGTTTAAAATCATAAAATTGTTATAAAACAAAACACTTAATTTAAATGTGAATTGTCTGTTGAATATTCACTTACAAACTACTATGTGAAGAAATAAATTAAAATTTAACTTAGTCACTAAAACATCAAGGATATTCTGAATTATGAGGAAATTAAATATTCTTTTATTATATAAGTTAGGCAATTAATTGTATTACAGCATTGGCAATCCCAATAGTGATAGTGCAGTAATATTCATAAAATATATTCTAAAATAAATTATTGTCTAGACACTTTTTCAATGACAAAAGTCAATTAAAATCTTGCAAAACATACAAAATGCATGTAATGTTATAATTAATTGTTATACTCTATTATTGTTGTCACTGTAAAACTTTACATTGATTCGCTCATAGCTTAAACAGTGCTTATATGTTACTAGTTAGAATTATATATTGCAATATTTGCACTATGTAACAATGAGCTCAAAATTGTGCTTAAACTGTACAATAATTTCCTATAAATGTCATATAAATTAAACTATAATTGTTACGTAAACTATTGAAAATATATAACAACTAACAACAATATAATTAAAATTGCATAACAATATCAGTAATGAATAACACTGATTTTTACATTTCACTTGAGCATGTTAATTCCAGTTCTTACCAGTTAATAGAAATTTCTAGAAAACATTATTTTGTTTCTGCAAATCATTTGTTTATTCAATTTTTAACACAATTTCTTAATATTTATTATAAATCCATATAATAGTCGCCATTTTTAACACAGTTTTTGGTGAAACCAATATTTCTCTCATTTAACACAACAAGTGTTGGAAGAATAAGATAGAAAACTCAGTAAATCAAACAAAATGTCCCTAAAGTTTGATTTTAGTGGAAGAGTAGCGCTGGTGACGGGCTCGAGCTCAGGCATCGGCGCCGCCACAGCCGTACTGTTTGCCAAATCGGGCGCCAAAGTAGTGGTGACCGGACGTAACGGCGACAAAGTGGCCGAAGTGGCCAAACAGTGCGCCGATGTGTCGCCGACCGGTGTCTCAGCCGTACTGCAAGTGTTGGCAGACGTGACGAGTGAACAGGATTTACAACGTTTAGTGACCGAAACTGTGAATACTTTTGGCCGATTGGATGTATTGGTCAATAACGCCGGCGGGTATGTTATGAGCGCCGTATACGACGACAAATTCATGGATGCCTTCAAATCTGTTTTGAACACTAATCTTAATTCAATGGTCTATTTAACACATATTTGTGTTAAACATTTGGAGAAAACTAAAGGAAATATTGTCAACGTTTCTAGTATTGCGGCCAAACTTACTGTAAGTTTTATTTTTTGTTTTAACTAATTTAATATTTTACAAATATGTTAGAATTTAAGCAATAATTTTACTAAATTTATATAAAGGTATTTTTAATGAATGCGTAAAATTGAGAATAAGTTAAATGATAATTTGCTTGATAGGTGTTAAACGGATCGCCGTATTGTATGTCAAAGGCAGCGATCGATATGTTTGGCAAATGTATTGCCGTTGAATTGGGGCCGAAAGGCATTCGCGTCAATACTGTTAAGTATGGCTTTGATTGCAATACAAATTTCATAACAATTAATAAACTAAATATTAAATCATTTTCAAATGACAAATAATAACTACACGTAAAGCCCGGGAGTGATCCGCACGAACGTACTCGAGGCTCAGGGGTTGCCCAAAGAGGTGGCCACTCAGGTGTACGACATGTTTGGCGGCAAATACCCGGTCGGGAGGGCGGGAGAGGGACTCGACATCGCTCGCAATATCTTATACTTGGCGTCAGACGAGTCGTCGTTTATAACGGGAACCAGTCTTGTCTCCGATGGCGGACATGTGGCCGCCAATGTGTCAATGAATGCGGATGATTAAATTAAGCATAGTGCTTTTACGTGTTGTTAACTTTTAATATATCTATATTATAACTATATATTAATTGTTTAGGAAATCGTATTCTAATGATTAATTTAAAAATTGGTTAATAGTTTTCATTTACAAGTAGACAGTATATTATTGCAAAATTAAATTACACTTTTATTTTAAGTAATATTGTTTGTCAAATTAAATTGTATATAAATCTTGTTTATATATGAATTACTAATACAACAATTAATAATGCTAACTTAATTATAAGATAAATTTTCAATATAATAGTTAACCGAAATTCGTATAAAATAACAGCAAACACTCTATGTTTACGTTTTCTATACTTGTTATATTGTATTTGAATGATTTAAATCATTGCCCATGGTCACACTGTATTTCAATCGAGTTTATATTCATTTGTAATATATTGGGCACATTTATAACCGACTAATACGGCGGCCGAAGCGGTGGCGGTGTTCGGCACCACTGGAAATACCGACGAATCGCATACACGGAATCTATGAACACCCCTAACCCTTAACAGAGGGTCGACCACAATATCGGGCCTCTCTATGGCTCCCATACGACAACTGCCCGCCGGATGGCCTGAAGTCTCACTTTTATACCGCATATAACACTGTAAACCCTCCCGACATTGATGTGCGTACTTTCCGGGACACGTCGGACACCCTATGGGTGTGAATAAGTCGGTTAACTCTACATAATTTTTTATACCAGATGTCTCAAGAAGGTTAAATGTAATGGCTGTTGCCTCCAATAAGGCCTGACTATCACCATGGTCATATAGCCAATTAGCATCAATTATAGGTGGGATTAAAGGGCTGTTTGACTGAAGTTTAATGGTTCCCCGGCTATTAAACCGGACCAATATGGTTAAAATTAGTAGCACGTTGTTTACGGGAATCATGATGGTCATGATGTTTGGCCATTGTTTGTCACGATTGGTACGCGTGCTGTGATATAGCGTAACGTCTGGATTGACCGCTAAATCGCTCGTGTGGTTATAATATAGCATGCTCAATTGTTGCACATTTAATTGCGGGTTAAACGATTTGGTAGTATATTGTGCTTTTATAGGTACAGTAATTGAGACAGCTGGTTGAGTTTGATAATTGTCACCAACCGGTAGATCAATGACTACAGGTATTCCCAGACTTTGCAAATGTTGTTTGCGTCCCAAACCCGATAGCATCAGTAGTTGTGGACTATTTATTGGCCCTAAATATATGCATAATATGAAGTGAATTTTGTAATTTAAATGTGTATTATACAGTGCAATCTCTATATAAGAAACGGGCATTTGAGTTAACATTAACCGTATTTAAAACTCATTTTAAACATTTCTTATAAAGAGGTCGCACTGTAAAAATTACCGCCGGAAACAATGACTTCTCTGTTGGCGTAAACCGTATACGAGATGTCATTCACTATAAACTCGACGCCAAT